AGTAGCATCAAGCCTGTAAGTACCTTGATGTTGGGCTTCAGGCCCCAGTCAGTGTCCCAAGGTGGAAGCTGCCTCAGCTAAAGATAATGGAAGCAGCAGCGGAGGTGGTAGTAGAGGTAACCCAAGATGAAGGTGGTGGTGTCCCAAGATAGAGGCAACCGCTTTCAGAGATGGGGCTAAAAGGATGGGCTGTGAGATGGTGTTGGTTGGCTTATTTAGTGATGCTGCAGTATATTGTGCAGTGCTTTAATGGGCAGCCACCTCTTAGCCTTGTCCTATGTCCCACCATGGAGATTACCACATGGGGAGGGCTATGGCAGTGGCTGCAACCTTCCAAAATGGAGGTGGTTTGGGTGGAGCTGCATGTTGGTGCTCCACGGTGTTCCCCTCCCCTCGGACATGGTGTTCCACTCCATGCTGTAGGCCAGGCCTCTCCAGGCTGTACTTAGGTTTTAAATTATAGATTCAATTATTTTAATATATAGAGAGCCCTTAGTTTTCTTGAATGTTTAGGTCAATTTTGTCCCTCAAAAAATGCCTATTGCATCAACATTTTAAAATCTATTGCCATAAACTTCCTCATAATATTCTCTTGTTATATTGTGTTGTCCATAGGACTTGTAGTAATATCTACATTTTAGTTCTTGCTATTGATAGTCTTTACTTTCTGTCTTTTTATTCCTCACCAGTGTTTCCTGGAGTTTCAATTTAACTTAACTTTAGGAGTATGTTTTATTGTTTTTTTTTTTTTTTTAAAAAAAAAAACACTTTTAGGGCTGGGGATGTGACTCAAGTGATAACGTGCTCGCCTGGCATGCACGGGGTGCTGGGTTCGATCCTCAGCACCACATAAAAATAAAATAAAGATGTTGTGTCCACCACTAAAACATAAATATTAAAAAATTCTCTCTCTCTCTCTCTCTAAAAAAAAAGAAAAGAAAACACTTTTGGTAAAAATATTTCTGTTTCTTTAATTTCTTATCATTATTATCTCTTGCTTTTTTGTTTGATTTACTTCTTTTTCTCATTTTATGAAGGTGGATGTGGGGAACATGTTTCTTAGCCTCTGTTTTATTAGGGCATAAGTTTCATTCTTAGCAAAGTTTTGGCTGCATCTGAGTTTTTCTGTGTAGAATAAGCATTCAGTTCAAACAATTCATATTTTTGTTTTGATTTTTTTCTATTTACTTTTCCAGCACTTACCTGTAACTTAATTTTTAATTTCTAAGCATGTAAATTTTCATTTACATTTTATTATTAATTTCTAACTTAATAATAAAAAATTATTAGCAGAAGATAAAAGAGAGAGAGGCAACTCCATGCAAGGTTCCCTGTTGCCTCTACAATAGGATGGTATCTTGTTAGCACACTTAGTAGAGAGAACTCTGGTGCAACCAATCCCACAGGGACCTTGGTTCAGTAATTTTTCTTCCTGGTTCACAAAATAAATTTTTAGTGGGGTTTTAAGAAATGAGGCTAGATAGAGCATAATGGTAAGTTAGCAGCTCTGTTAATCAAATGCAAATAATAACATTAATAGCAATGCAAAAAAGCAAAGCTTTCTTATACTGTCTATTGATCTGAAAACCCCACTCAGAATCTCTTCCACTTAAATGGCCTGTAAGAACAGCAACATGCACTGTAATCCATATTTTACAGATTGGAAGATACATAAATGTGTTTTTATTAAACATCAAATAGAAAATTTACCCTGATTTTAAGTAGAATAAAATAAATTGTGTTTACTTTAAATGCTTTTTCTAGACCTTATGTAAGTGTAAAGTATCTTGGGTTGTCAATGTTATCAAGCTGTGTATTCAAAAACTTTTATTTTTGATACTGCCTCTTTAAAAATTATAACACTGGGAAATGTTTTACACTGGCATCGGTGAATTTTATGATGTTACTTTTTCTCTATTATAAAATTCACTACTTATAATTAAATTTTATCCCATGCCAGGCATGACTTTTATGTTCTGCCCTTTGCTGATAAGGTAGAATTTTCTTTTATTTCTATACTAAATCAATTTTTATATTAAATTTATTTTAATTGATACATAAAGCTTAAAATTTTATATAATAATATGATACCATGTAGTGTTTTGATATATGTATACATTGTATGAGGTTTAAATTAGATTAAATATATCTATCTCTTTAAACATTTATAATTACTTTATGGCAAAACCCTTCAAAATCCCTTTTTCTAGCTTTTTTGAAATAAACAGAACATAATTTGTTAGCATGGGTCTCACCAGCACTTCTTGCTGGTGTCTAACTGCAACTCTATGCCCATTGATGTGCCTTGCCACATCCCCTTCTCCCCACTATGATCTCCAGTCTCTGGTAACCACAGTTCTCCTCTCAACTCCTAACACTTCTTAGACAGGTAAGGAAGTCAAGCCTCTTTGGGAAGGTGATATTGGATGCTGACACATCAGGCTGCATTCCATCTCTTAGAGATTGCAAGGGCTTAGATTGGTTCTTTAGCCTTCAGAATATCTGCTTTCCCAGCTGCAAAATGGAATTATCAAGGCTCATTCCAAATAACCCAGAAAAATGTGAATATATTGGAGCAATACAATTATGTAATTAATATTATTTATGTGATTTCTAATCTCTATTTAGCAGGCAATGCCCTCTTCCACCTGTCCTCTCTGAGCGTCTGTGGGGTAACATCTTCCACTCCCGTGTATCCCTACTAGAATAAGGTTGCAGGGTGGCAGGAATGTGGGCTTTGAGATTTGCATCCAACCTGATGGCTTCCTGATGCATTTTCAGGCATAGAATTGACCCTGGGCACATGAATGAATGACTACATTGCAGACTGGACGGAACTCGCTTCTATTTCCTCCCCTGTGCTAGTTTTTAGGTCCTTTTAGCTTCCAGGCTACATTTTTTTTTTCTGTCCAATCTGATCTCACAATTGGGAAGTGGGACACACATTTATGCTAAAGAATTCTGAATTTTCTGCCAATGGATGGTACCCTACTTCCTCATTTATGGTTATTTTCTGCCAGCAACTTGGACGGAGAACCAGTATCTACTCTTCCTCTTACTATAATGCAGTCACATTGATTAAAAGTCATTT